ACACCCCTCCCTATCTCTGTAACCTCCCCCAGTCCCTACACACCTCCCTGTCTCTGTACCCTCCAGCAGTCCCTACACACCTCCCTATCTCACACCCCTCCCTATCTCTGTAACCTCCCCCAGTCCCTACACACCTCCCTGTCTCTGTACCCTCCAGCAGTCCCTACACACCTCCCTATCTCTGTAACCTCCTATAATCCTTTGAGATCTCCGGCCACCACTCCCGCCCCCAGTTCCACTCTCTTGCTCCTTCTGTGGTTTTAATCGCTCCACCAGTGGGTGGTGAGAGGCAGTCACCAGCCTTTGTTCCCTAAGGTCTTGGAACTCACTCCATTATCCTTTCCCCTCCCTATAATATGCCTTTCACCGAGCCGTTGCTCACCTGGTTCTTGTTCAGGAGTAAGTCTGCTTGATAAAGGGCCCCAGGATGTTTTGGGACTGCCCAGGCGCTACAGCATCGCAACTCACTGGTGCTGGCGCAATTGGGGAACTTACCACATGGGAGGCAACCTGCCGATACTTGCTGAAATCTTCACCCCTCACCAGCTCCTCAGGGACAGTTTTGCCTCTCTGGAAGAGATACCGGTGTAACAATGTTAGAGGAGCTGCAGCATTTATGGAACAGCCTGTGCCATGGATTACCGCACCAACATCTGCTCTCTCACTGTGCCAGTCCGAAGACATGGCGTGTTCGAAATGACTGCCCCTTTGCAAAGATGGCCTGGCCCTCAGCCATCACCCCAGCTCCATGCCTAGCCCACACCCCTTCAGAAAAATGCTGTTCCATCGATCCCCCAGTTAAGACAACCAGCTCCATTCAGCTCACCCCATGATAAAATGGGACTGCTCATTTTTTTTAAATTCATCTGTGGGACGTGGGGGTCGCTGGCTGGGCCCAGCATTTATTACCTGTCCCCAGTTGCCCCCTTGAGAAGGTGGTGGTGAGCTGCCTCCTTGAACCGCTGCAGTCCATGTGCTGTGGGTTGACCCACAATGTCCCCTTAGGGAGGGAATTCCAGGGATTCTGACTCAGCGACACTGAAGGAACGGCCGATATACTTCCAAGTCAGGATGGTGAGTGGCTCGGAGGGGAACTTGCAGGAGGTGGGGGTCCCTTGTATCTGCTGCCCCTTGTCCTTCTGGATGGAAGTGGCTGTGGGTTTGGAAGGTGCTGCCTGAGGATCTTTGGTGAATCTCTGCAGAGCATCTTGTAGATGGTACACACTGCTGCGACTGAGTGTCGGTGGGTGGAGGGAGTGGGATGTTTGTGGATGTGGTGCCAATTGAGCGGGGGCTGCTTTGTCCTGGATGGTGTCGAGCTTCTTGAGTGTTGTTGGAGCTGCCCCCATCCAGGGGCAAGTGGGAAGTATTCTCTCACACTCCTGATTGTGCCTTGTAGATGGTGGGACAGGCTTTGGAGGGAGTCAGGACGGGAGTTACTTGCTGCAGGATTCCCAGCCTCTGACTTGCTCTTGTAGCCGCTGTGTTTATGTGGTGGGTCCAGTTGAGTTTCTGGTCAGTGGTAACCCCCAGGATGTTGATAGTGGGGGGATTCAGTGATGGTAACACCATTGAATGTCAAGGGGCAGTGGTTAGATTGTCTCTTATTGGTGATGGGCACAGCCTGGCATTTGTGTGGCTCGAATGTCACTTGCCCCTTGTCAGCCTAAGCCTGGATATTGTCCAGATCTTGTTGTATTTGGACACGGACTGCTTCAGTATCTGAGGAGTCATGAATGGGGCTGAACAATACAATCATCGGCGAACATCCCCACTTCTGACCTTATGATGGAGGGAAGGTCATTGATGAAGCAGCTGAAGATGGTTGGGCCGAGGACACTACCCTGAGGAACTCCTGCAGAGATGTCCTGGAACTGAGATGACTGATCTCCCACAACCACGACCATCTTCCTTTGTGTCAGGTATGTCTCCAACCACTGGACAGTTTGCCCCCTGATACCCATTGATTCCAATTTTGCTGGGCCTCTGTGATGCCACACTCGGTCGAATGCAGCCTTGATATCAAGGGCTATAGCTCTCACCTCACCTCTGGAGTTCAGCTCTTTTGTCCATGTTTGAACCAAGGCTGTAATGAGGTCAGGAGCTGAGTGGTCCTGGCCGATCCCAAACTGGGCGTCACTGAGCAGGTTATTGCTGAGCAGGTTCTGCTTGATAGCGCTGTTACTGACACCTTCCATCACTTTACTGATGATCGAGAGTAGAATAATGGGGCGGGAATTGGCCGGGTTGGATTTGTCCTGCTTTTTGTGTACAGGACATACTTGGGCAATTTTCCACATTGTTGGGTAGATCCCAGTGTTGTAACTGTACTGGAACAGCTTGGCTAGGGGAGCAGCAAGTTCTGGAGCACAAGTCTTCAGTACTATTGCCGGGATGTTGTCAGGGCCCGTAGCCTTTGCAGTATCCAGTGTCTCCAACCGTTTCTTGAGATCACGTGGAGTGAATCGAATTGGGTGAAGACTGGTATCTGTAACGCTGGGAACCACGGGAGGAGGCCGAGATGGATCATCCACTCAGCACTTCTAGCTGAAGATTGCTGCGGTTGCAACCCCCTCCCTTATAAAACGGGCAGTTTAGTGTCCCCCCACCCCACCGTTTATAAATGGACCATTCCGCTTCACCGATCCCTGATTCTTCCCAAATTTCCTCGGGCTACATCTAAAGTGAGCTACACCCTCGAGAGCCCTTGGTCTTGTTCTTAAACTGGGGAGCGCTCCACTGAACCCAACCCCTGGCCAAGGCTGTGCGCGAACAAGGACACTGCCGAGTGGTGGGGCCACAGACGCTGCTCGAGGGGCACAGACTTCAGCTGAGGAGCTGCCCAGGAACGGATGTCCCAGTGTTACACCTACCTTCTTACGCTCCGTGGTCAGCACAGTTGCCTTATCTTGAAGCTGCATGAATAAAAACAATAAGAGAACATGAATATCTCCAGTAGCCCACCCTCCCACCCTCCGCCCAGCCCCTCCCCCCCTCCCAATCTCTGTAACCCCCTCCTGCCCCTACACCCCCTTCCTATCTCGGTAATCTCCCTTAGGGTAAGGTCTGGAATTCCTTTCCTAACTTCTCTCTCTCTCTTTTGCTCTCCCTTCACGATGTTGCCTGAAATCTCCCCATGGGACCCAGCTGGAGGTTGGTCTACCTTTCCAAAAGAACCTGGTTCGTTTTTGGACTGGGTTTGCAAACTGTTTCTGTGACCCTTTTCCTGACAATGAGGACCCTCAACACGTCGCTGGACCCACCTTCTGAATGATCTCTGGAGTCATTCCGACCTGCTCCCCGACCTCCATCGGTTCCCCTGCGCCCTGTGTCGGAAGATGAGGCAGAGGTTAAGAGCCGAGGCTGGCCAGGAGTCCGGGCCTGAGCAAAAACCGCAGCCGTCCTGGGTGGGGCCGTTCTCGCTCTCACCAAACCTCAAACTCGACCCGGACTGGGCCTCGAGGCTCAGGCGTACTGTTGGAAGGGCCTCAGCAATTCATGGTGGGGAGCTGGGGATGTCGACGGGGATAATGAACGCGGGGAAAACTGGGATCGTTCTCCTTGCGGCCGCAGAGGGGCAATCGGGGCATCGAAAGTCACGAAGGCAGGGAGGGAAGAGGCCTGTGGGAATACTTTGAGACTATCATAGCACCACTTCCCCTGGATACGGATCCACCTTTGCCTTGAACCTTTCCCAGCAGCGTGATGCCTAGGACCAGGCCACGCTGTTGAGTGGACAGATTCGTGCCCAGTCCAACCACTGCTCCAAGCCTCCGAGGTCTTTTGGAGAAGATGCCTGGGCCGGATCCAACCACAGCAGGGGGACACGGATGGGAGAAAACTCCACACAGACGGTGGGGGAAACGGACTGTTGTTTTTTTCTCCCGCGACAAAGTGAGTGGTCGTGACCTGGAACGTGGTGAAAGCAGATTGCACAGCGACATTCCCAAGGTGGGAAGTGGATAAATAAGGGAACGTGGGAGTGGCAGGAGAAAAGGGGAGAGGGAAGGGCGTGGGGGTAATGGGATAAAGCCGACCAAGAGAGATGCGTTGCCGGAATACAAAGGGAGAAGGGAAGACCGTCGAGCACACACTCTCCAGGTAAGCCAAAGGCCCTCCCCCCCCAACTTTAGCTCTCCCCACCGCAGGACGTGAAACCAGGAGACAGGCTGTACTTACAGGAGTTGCAGCAGGAGTAACTGGTGGTGCCTGGGGCACGGCCAAACCAGCCTGGGGCTTCAGCGTTGCCAGAGCTGTGAAGAGAGTGAGAGTTACAGACAGGAACACTATCTCTCTCCATAACCCACACTCTGACACCCCATCTCTCTCTCTCTCTACAATGCACACTCTGGCCCTCTCTAACCCACATTCTGACCACCCCTCACTCTCTATTTGCACACTCTGACCCTCTCTCTCTCTCTCTCTAACCCACATTCTGACCACCCCCCACTCTCTCTATTTGCACACTCTGACCCTCTCTGTGTCTCTCTCTCTCTCTATAACCCACACTCTCTGACACCCCATCACTCTCTCTCTCTCTCTATAATGCACACTCTGACCCTCCCTGTCTCTCTCTAACCCACATTCTGACCACCCCCTCATAATGCAAACTCTGACCCTCTCTGTCTGTCTCTCTCTAATCCACACTCTGACCCTCTCAGTCTCTCTCTCTCTCTCTCTGTCTAACCCACAATCTGACCCTCTCTGTCTCACCCACACTCTGACGCTCTCAGTCTCTCTCTCTCTCTAACCCACACTCTGACCCTGTCTCTCTCTCTGTCTAACCCAAACTCTGACCCTCTCAGACTCTCTCTGT